TCTTTAAACAAAATATAGTTATGTTTAGTTTGTGGGGGTTTTTTTAAGGTTTTATTTATTTACTTTTAGGGAGAGGGGAAAGGAAAGAGGAAGAGAGGAAAAGAAACATCAATCAGTTGCCTCTCGCACACTCCCAGTTGAGGACCTGGCCCACAACCCAGGCATGTGCCCAGATGGGGAATCAAACCGGCAGCATTTCGGACCGAGGGACAATGCCCAACCCACTGAGCCGCACTAGTCAGGGCAAGTTTGTGATTTTTTTTTTTTAATTCAGTCTGACAATATTTACTTTTATTCAGAAAATTTGGTCCATTTATATTACATGCAATCATTGATGTATTTGAATTTAAATACACTATACCATTTATTCTCTATTTCTCAAGTCTATTCTCTGTTCCTTTTGCCTAATTTGCCTTCTTTGGATTAGGCTTAATCCAATAATTTTTATCATTCCATTTTTCTTGTATTAATTTGTAATTATGCATTTGTATTATTCTTTTAGTAGTTACACTAGAAATTACATGTCTCCTTAAATAATCTCCCTTAAATTGATAGTTTTAGCACTTTCTATCAAAGGAAATACCTTAAAGCACTTTAATTCCATTTTTTGCTTCCTACATTTCTGTCTCTCTATTTTGGATCCCTTCCCTTCTGCCAAAACAAACAAAATTTTCGTAGGCCTACTGACTACAAATTATTTCAGCTGCTTATAGTCCATGTATTTATTTTTACCGTCACTTCTAATTATTAAAATATTTTATTTATTTATTTTTAGAGTCAGGGTACAGGAGGGAGAAAGAGAGGGAGAGAAACATCACTGTGTGGTTGCCTCTCATGTATCCCTATAGAGGGGACCTTACGAGCAACCCCGAGCAAGTGCCCTAACTGGGAATTGAAACAGTGATCCTTCGGTTCTCAGGCCAGCACTCAATCAACTGAGCTACACCAGCCAGGGCTTACCTTCACTTTTAAAGGGTAATTTCCCTGTAAATAAAATTCAAGTCTTCCAGTTATTTTCTTTTAGCATTTCAAAAATGCTTCTCCCTTGTTGTTACTTTCATTATTCTGTGGTTATTTTTTCAAAGATTATGTATTTTCACCTAGGGATATTTTTTAAATTATCCTTTTATCTTTGGTTTTTAACAATTATACTACAATGTTCTTGAGTATAGTTTTCTTTTTATTGACATGTATGTTTCACAGAGCTTTCTTGAATCTGTGGCTTGGGTTTTTTTTTTTTTTGAGAAAATACATGTATTTTAAATCACTTTAATTATTGCATTATTGTTCCTGACCCATTTTCTCTTTCATCTCTGTCTGTGATTCCAATTACATGCAGGTATTTTTGTCATGTTCCTATTATCTTTCCCATATTTCTCATCTTTTTTTTCCCAATGTTTTATTATCTGGGTAATTTTTAATGATCTATCTTGTACCCAAATTCTTTCTTCTGCAATATTCTAATCTATTACTGAACTAATCTCCTGAATCCCTATTTGAACATTTCTTTTTCAATTCTCAGAAAAACATACAATAATTTTCTTATCTCTGATAAAAATTACTATTTTTTCATATATTTTTAGATATACTAATTTTTGTCATTTAAAAATCTATGTGTTACAACTTCAAAATCTTAAACAAACATAGCTTTTTAGTTGTCTGTTTTTTTCTCTTGGTTTCCTGGCATGCTTAGACCATCTCTTATCAAATGCCAGGTACTGTGAATGAAAAAGTATAGAGCACTTGGATCATTTTATATTTTTCCAGAGACAATTAAATTTGTTTTTCTGAGGCAGACAAAATATAGCAGATTATCATGGCTCAGTCTAGGCTGGCCTAGAGCCCTAGCTCTGCAGAGGTACAATATTAAAACCTGAAGTTTTATCAGGACTGGTTTTAGAATCATTTCTCTATTTCTCTCTCTCTCTCTCCCCCCCCCCCTTCCTTCCTTCCTTCCTTCCTCCCTTCCTCCCTCTCTTCCTCCCTTCTTTCTGTGATGGTCCCTAAACTCTTTATTTTGTTTTCTTTGGTATCTTGAAACTACCAAAATCTTGATTAGCTTTTCAAGTCTTAGCAGCTGCTTTCTGCATAGTTCTTGGCAGTCCCTCTCCTAATGCGTAAATTCTAATTTAGCAAGTGTCTCCATTGAAATGGCTGCAAACTCTTCACCTCACTGTTCATCAGCTGCCTTCTGTTGGCTGTCTTGACCTTCTAATGCTGGTTGGTGGCCTTAAACTTCAACCTTTGTATTTCCAGCCCAGTGAGACTGTCAAAATCTAAACCATTGCCTTCTCTCCAGCCTCTATCACCGAATTAGCTAATGGCCAGAGACAAAACAGTAGTACAGAAGAAGATTTAAGTCAGCTCAATGAGCTTCCTTTCTTTCCTAGATTCTATTTAGCATCTTAAGTCGTGGTTGCCTTGATTGCCAACTGATATTTTCATGGGATTGCTTTTCGTAGTTTATCCAGATCTCTGTGTTTGTTCCTTTGTTTGTCAGTTTTCACCTGAATGGTTTGTATGCTACCATCTAGATCAGCATAAATCCCCTTGTGGTTATCCTTTCATCCTAAAAGTTACAAAGTAAAGAAGTTACAAAGTCATCTTACTGCTAATGATGGAAAGCCAAGTCTAATCTTAATGTTTCCACTACCCCCAAAATTAATGCCTTATTTAAATTCTACCACACACCTCCAATTGTAAAATTATGCTTATATTTACTGCTGGAAATTTTGCTCTTTTGATACATGACAAGAAAACCTTAAAAACAAATCAAACTTCTTGGTTAATTACTTACATCTTTGGCAACCATCAGTCCTTTAAAGTCTTAAGAGAAAAAAAAAAGCATCCTGCCAGATCTTTAAATAAAATCAAATAAATGAAATGACTGGTTGATTCATCAACAAGCTCTCATAAGATGAAACATAGTAAAGAATTTGCATCACATTATATAAAACATAGTACCAGAAACCCAACAATTATATCAAATTTGAGAAGTACTTTAAATATTGAGCTTTTCTTGGAAAATTTGGTAGTTTAGAAGTTTTAAAAAATGCAACTAGAACCTCAGTAATTACACTAAACTAAAGGGTTTACTTTTCACTTGAACATACTTGCAACATAAATATAAATTCAATGGATCCTCAGAACCCATTAAATCCTAGGGTCTTCACCTCTCCAACACAAGTTCTCTCTAATCCCAGGAGTTTTTCAATGTCCAATCTACTCCATTTCCCTCCTTCTTACACAATTTATTACTTAAGCGATGCATTGTCCATTATGATAAACTAACATTCCAGAAAGCTATCAAGAGGAATCATGCAGCATATCAGTTATCATTTCAAACTGCATGTGAATCTTGAGGCTGCCCCATTTTAATTATACAAACGTAGATAAATTACATTAGAGTTAGTCTCAGCTTCCTCATTTGTTGAATAATAACATTTATCAAAATGTATGGTAGCAAGGAATGGTGCTAAATTATATAAAGCTACTTATTAGTTATCATGAGGCCTGTAATTAAAACCAAAAATGATCATTATTTTCATATGTTTTGTATCAAAAACATTTAGACACAGATTAAGAATAAATATAGTTCCTACCAAATGAAAAAGTGTATTATTCATTAATAGTTAAAATATCATGGACTATATTTCAAAATGTGGACAAATTCCAACAAAGATTATCATTTTGCTATACTCCCCTAATGAAGAGATTTAATAATATTTGGCAATAATAAAAATTTGATAAATTAATATGATTTTGTTATTTATCACCTATGTGTCTCAGTAGACTGTGGTGGAAGCTTCCATCATGATGCTCCCCAAGTAGCAGACCTCACAGAGACACTCACTAAAATGTAGATCTTTGGGCCCCTCCTGAGGGGGGCTAAAGGGGATCTCTGGGAAAGAAGCTGGGCAATGTCATGCCCACGAGGATTCCAGAATTTTTTTTTACACATTACACTTTGGAAACCATTGCTTTTATGTTAAGCAAGGAATAAATCCCTTGGTCTTTACTTCCTTATAATCTTAACATCATCATAAGCCAAAGATATTGTGATCAAGTATGGGTATTCAAGTGTTAGTTTTTGGAAAGAAACCAGATGGAAAAAATATAACTATAAAATGATCTCAACTCTAAAACTAAGACTAGTTTGACTGTAATATGGTGAGAAGTTCAGCTAAATTAACAATATTGCTAACTTGATTATGAAAACGTATTGACAAGAAGGTTAATGCACCCACATAGTTCTAACAACAATGAATACTCTAAACTTTTAGAACTTTATGGATTAATCTAAAGGCATATTTTAAATACTGAGCACTATTAATACTTCTAAGCCTGCCGTCATCATCTATCATAGCATTGTACTCTTTTTCATTGTAGTACTTACTGTATTTTTACTAAATGTTTTACAGTTGGGTTTTTAATTTACTGATTGTTCTATGAGGTCAGACTCAGCTCTCACAGAGGATTGTGGGTTATCGTGATCCGAATCCTAAGACTGCAAAGAAAACAGATAATAAGTATCTATACAGTGAATAAAATAAATGTTTTAAATATTGAAAATGTTTATCAGAGTTTAACCATGAAGTTGTAATTTTTCCACTAAGTACCCGATTGTACAGTTTTCACAGTAGCATAAGTGAGGAGCTCCAGCAGCATACCAGGGAAAGCACAGGCTTTGGGGTCCTGAGTTATTCCATCTCTAAGCTTTAGCTGTGGGACCCAGAGACAAGTTATTTAACTATTTCTTCTCTGTGTCTTCACCTCAGGAAGCTCTTCTAAACAAATAGAATATAAATGACTATTATATAAATAAGAATATCTCCAAAATTAAAAAGGTAGCAAAAAGATGGGCAATGGAAGGAAGTAGCAGAATTTTGCCAGTTATGAGACCTCTAACCAGATTTCATTCTAGCTCTAGGTGCTCTTTATAATCTCAAAGTGACTTCTCATGGTAGACTGCAGTACAACTAGCTCATAATTTTAGAAACCCCACAAAGGTATTCAAATTCTTGAGTTTCTTGAAGGCTCTCCCAAGAATTTATTTTATTCTGTTAAACTCAACTCTTTGGGAACATAAAAAAGGGGAAGAAAGATTATAATATGTTGATCCAGGTCTGTCATTATTTCCAAAACTCAGAAATTAATTCTCCGTTTATAATCATTTAGGACTAAAGGACTCCATCATGCAGATTTCAGCTTGTTTATACAGGGTCCAGCACAAGGAATGCCTGCTTGAGGGTGGTTGGTAGGGTAATAAAATGGGTGTAATAATTTATAGTTTTAATTTGAACATTTCACCTAAAGTGTCACATGGTGTTCTTGAGTGTGATATTATGTTACAGAATTACATGCTTATGACTTTATAGTAAAAAGGAGACATTATTTGTGCAGGAGCCTTTATATCCCTTTATTAACAACATCTTGGTTGCTTTCAATTTTTTACAACACTACTTGCAAACAGCATTGCAATATATATGCATGCATGCCACCTTGTACACATGAAGAAAAGTTTCTCTGGGGTAAATATTTGGAATTAGGGTTGTTAGATCATAAAGTGCACACATCTTCAAGTTTAAAAAATTAAGCTAATTCCACATGTATTTTCAACTAGATGCATACACAACAACATAAGTAATTGAAAATAATGCAAAAAGGTGCTTGAAATAATCATCAAATTATAAATTCTAACTTTTTATTGGGTTGACCTAAAAATCAAAGTGCTATGTGTGTTTGCTATCAAAATTTCCTTTTTGTTGATAATAGTCATTCTACACATATGAGGTGGTATCTCATTGTAGTTTTGAATTGCATTTCCCTCATAGCTAGGGAAGTTGAGCACCTTTTCATATGTTTGTTGGCCATTTTTATGTCTCCTTGGGAGAAGTATCTGTTCATGTCCTCTGACTATTTTTTAATTGAATTTTTTATCTGTTTGGTGTTGAGTTTTTTGTCAGAGCGGTTGTTTGCAAATATTAACTCCAATTTGGTTTGTTGCCTTTATATTTTGTTGGTGGTTTCTTTTGCTGTGCAGAAGCTTTTCGGTTGATGTAGTTCCATCCATTTATTTTTACCTTTACTTCCCTTGCCAAAATCATAAAATCTTCTCTAAGACCAAAGTCCATAAATTTAGTACTTATGTTTTCTCCAATGTAATTTATTGTTTCAGATCTTATATTTAGGTCTTTGATCCATTTTAAATTGATTGTTGTACACGGGGACTAATAGTTTAGTTTTGTTGTTGTTGTTGTTGTTTGTGTTTTTTTGTTTTTTGGTTTTCGTTGCATGTGGTATCCCAATTGTCCCAGTACTATTTCTTGAAGATTTCTTCTCCATTGTATGTCTTTCACTCCTTTGTTCAATTTTTTTCCCCATACACATGTGGTTTTATTTTTGGGCTCTTGATTGTCTTTCATTGGCCTGTGTGTCTGTTCTTCTGTCAACACCATGCTGTTCTGATTATCATAGGTCTGTAGTATAATTGAAAGACAGGTAGTGTGATACTTATGGTCTTGTTCTTTTTTCACATGATTGTTTTGGCTATTCTGTGTCTTTTGTAGTTGATACAAACCTGATGATTTTTTTGGTTCTATTTTTTTAAAAAATGCCATTGGGATTTTGAGGGAGATTGCATTAAATCTGTGTATTGATTTGGGTAATGTGGACATTTTAACTATGTCGATGCTTCCAATCTATGAGCATAGAATATCTTTCCATTCCATTGTGACTTTTTCAATCTCTTGTTTAATTATTGTTCAATTATAGGTGTCCCCATTTTCCCCCCATTACTCTCCTCTTCCCTCCCCACCCCACCGTCCCACATTCAATCCTCCCTGCATTGTCTTTGTCCATGTGTCCTTTATACATGTTCCTTGACTTGACCCTTCCCCTTCTTATCCCCATCATCTCCCTCTCCCACCCCTCTGGTCAACCTCTTTAACAATGCTTTGTAATTTTCAGTATAGGTCCTTCACATACTTTGTTACATTTATTCCTAGGTACTTTATTCTTTTTGTTGCAATTGAAAAAGAAATTTTTTTTATTTCTTTTTCTGAAATTTTACTGTTAATATATAGGAATACATTGGATTTTTTATATTGATTATTGTATCCTGCAACTTTACTGTATTTGTTTATTGTTTCTAATAAATTTTCGGTGGTGTCTTTAGGTTTTACTACACAAAAAAATCATGTTATCTGAAAAAAGTGACACTTTAACTTCTTTATTCCCAATTTGGATGCCTTTTATTTTTTTCTCTTGCCTAACTGCTCTGTCTAGGTCTTCCAGTTGAATAAGCATGGTGAGAGTGGACCTCTTTGTCTTCTTCCTGATTTCAAAGGAAAAGCTCTCAATTTTCACCATTGAGTATGATATTAACTGCGGGTCTTTCGTTTATGGTCTTTATTATGTTGAGGTACTTTCCTTCTATACCTATTTCATTGGGCATTTTAATCATAAATGGATGTTGTATCTTATCAAAATTGTTTTCTGCATCTATTGATATTGTGAATGTGGTGTGTTACATAGATCTATTTGCATATGTTGAAGCATCCTGGTGCCCCTTGGATGAACCCCACTTGATCGTGATGCACTGTTAATGTCCTGTTGTATTTAATTTGCTAGTATTTTGTCCAAGATATTTTGCATCTGTATTTATCAGAGCTATTGGTCTGTAGTTTTCATTTTTGTGTTATTGTTGTCAGGTTTTGATAGCAGGCTTGAATTGGCATCATAAAATGTGTTAGGAAGTATTGCCTGTCCTTCAATTTTTTGGAAGAGTTTGAGAAAGATAGATATATACTCTTCTTTGACTTTTTGTTTGAATTCACTAGTGAAGCCATCTGGTCCTGGATTTTTATTTTGGGGGCAGTTTTTGATGATTATTTGAATTTCCTCACTTTTGATTGGTCTATTTATATTTTCCAATTCTTCATGATTTAGTCTAGGAAGGTTATATATTTCCAAGAACTTACCCATTTCTTCTAGGTTATTGAATTTGGTAGCATATAGTCTTTCAAAGTATTCTAGCATGATTCCAGGATTTCTGTGATATCTGGTAACCTCTCCTCTTTTATTTATGATTTTGTTTATTTATCTTTTCTCTTTTTGCCTTAGTGAGTCTAGCCAGGAGCTTGTATCAACAAGACAGGTAATCACAAGTGCTGGAGAGGTAATGGGGAAAAAGGAATCCTCATTCACTACTGGCAGGAATGTAAACTGGTACACCCATTATGGAAAACAGTATGGAGCTTCCTCAAAAAATTAAGAATAAGAGTTTCCATATGACCCAGCAATCCCTCTTCTGGGTATCTACATGAATAATTTTAAAGCATTTATTTACAAAGATATATGCTCTCCTATGTTTATTGCAATATTACAGTGGACAAGACATGGAAACAACCAAAGTGTTATTCAATAAATGATTGGATAAAGATATGGTACATATATACAATGGAATGCTACTCAGCCATAAGAAAAGATGAAATATTGCCATTTGTGCCAACATAGATGGACTTTAAGAACATTATACTAAGTGAAATGAGTCCATTGGGGGGAAAAAAGCTAAGAATATATGATTTCATACATATGTGGGATATAAAGCTGAAACTCATAGACCTGGACAACAGTATGGTGATTGCCAGAGGGAAGGATGTGAAGGGTAGTAAAGGGTAAAGGGGGCCAAATATGTGGTGACAGAAGGTTTGACTTTGGGAGGTGCACACAATGCAATATACAAATAATGTATCATAGAAATGTACACTTAAAAGCTATATAATCTTATTACCCATGTCATCCCAAAAAATTTAATAAAAAAATTTTTCTGCCATTCTCATTGGGAAGCAGTCTTTTCCTGAGAAGAAAAGTGTCCTTGGAGATCCAAATATTTTTTTCCAGATTGACTAAAATTTCTATAAAGCATATTCAAATATCCCCAAATTAATACGTTAACACTTGGCCATCTTTGACTAGTGTATTTCACCACATGATCTTTTAGGGTTAGGTATATTATAAACTAAAATTCTGAGGAAAACCTTCCTTTCTAATTACAACTCATATTTTAGATTGCATATGGAACATTGTACAATGTGTTGCTTAGAGTATGTGTGAGATAATAAAAAATAAATATTACGGACATGGACAACAGTGTGGTGACCGCAGGGGTAGGGGGTATAAGAGGACTAAATGATAATGGAAAAAATGTAATTTAAAAAATATATATGTATATATTGGACTCTGCCCCCAGTTCCTAGCACAGAGCTCCTGAAATCCTTATAACTTCCTAAGTAACTAAAACACTAGGAGCATCTCTTGTTCTAATATTTGACTTTGGCCCCATTGCTGACACAGGATTCCTAAGACTCTTGTAAATTCTTATGTGATAAAAGCACTAGATGCATCTTTTGTTCCAGTGAGGTGACTCTGGGTGGGCTCCTGGGTAGCTTGCGGATGCGGGCTGGTCACCAGAAAGACCAACCCATGATTAGAAACTTAGAATCTTCAGCCCTCCCTCCCTCCACCATTTTCCAGAGAGGAAAGAGAAGCTGAAAATGAACTTAATTATTTATCATGCTTGGGTATGAAATCCACAAAATACCAAAAGTGTGGGATTTGGAGATATTCCGGGTTGCAGAACACAACCACCTACCGGAGGAGTAGTCAGCCCACTTCAGCTTCACAAGAAAGAAGTCCCTGCACTCAGGCCCCTTCCCAGACCTTGCTGTGTGTGTCCTGTTCTTTGACTGTTCATCTGTATCTCTTTTCATTTCCTTTAACAAGCCAGTAAATGTGTTTCTCTGAGCTCTGTGAGCTGCTCTTGCAAACTAATCAAACTTGAGGAGGGATTTATGGGAATCTTTGATTTATAACCAAACTGAACAGAAGTTGTGGGTCACCTGGAGACCTACTACTTGTGATTGACATCGGAAGTAGGATGCGAACCTTGCGGAATTGAGACTTTAATCTGTAGAAACTGACATTATTTCCAAATAGATAGCTTTAGAATTAAGTTAAATTGTAGGGCACCCAGAAGATTGTTTAATGTGACAAAGAACCTTTGCA